AATTATGTCATCATAAAGTCATATTGGTAACAGGTAAACCAGTAGTTCTTATAGCTGTATATCATTCATTTGTAGGTCACTACCACTTCCATTGCTTTTGGCTAAAAGTCTTAAACTAATTGTGGTAAACTTTGCATCTGTGGCAGCATGTGACTTTTGAATTGTGATCCATGTTGCTAGATACAAAATGTCTATCTACGTGAACTAAAACAGGATAGCTTTGTTACTTAAGCATGTAAATTATATTTTCTCAATCTATAGAGAGTTACAGGTAGATAGGATATTGAAGCAGGCATTTGGTATGCTTGCCGTTATTGGTCAGTGCATTGAGTATAGGACTTGGGAGGTCATGTTGCAGCTATACAGCACATTGGTTAGGCCACTTTTGGAATACTGCATGCAATTCTGGTCTCCCTGCTATAGGAATGATATTGTGAAACTAGAAAGGGTTCAGAAAAGATTTACAAGGATGTTGCCTAATATAGCTTGAGCTATAGGGAGAGGCTGAATAGGCTGGGGCTATTTTCACTGGAGTGGCGGAGTCTGAGGCGTGACCCTAGAGATTTATAAAATCTTGAGGGACACGGATAGGGTGAATAGCCAATGTCTTTTCCCCCCTGTGGGGGAATCCGAAACGAGATGGCATAGGTTTAAGGTGAGAGGGAAAAGATTTAAAAGGCATCTAAGGGGCAACTTCTTCAGGCAGAGGGTGGTGCATGTATGGAATGAGCTGCCAGAGGAAGTGGTGGAGTCTGGTACAATAACAACATTTAAAAGACATCTGGATGGGTACGTGGAAGGGTTTAAAGCGCCAAATACTGGCAAATGGGACTAGATTAATTTAGACTATCTGGTTCGCATGGACAAGTTGGACAGAGGGGTCTGTTTCCATGCTGTACAGTTCTATTACTCTGACATATTTTATCTGTTCTGTCTGTTCCATTTGAAAAAAGTGCATTACTACAGATACTTCTGAGGTACACCAGTATTTGAGCTGAATATTACTGGGGAAAAAAAGCTGTTGAATTTTTTTTTCTTACACTCATCAGGTCAAACTCAAGAATGCCAAATTTCAAAGGGAGCAACAATTTATACTGCATGAGAAAAGGATGCTGATTGGTTGGCATGTTAGCTCTGGGCAAGATATTGCCATAGAGCATACACTAGGATCTTATTGTCCCTCACATTTTAAAAAGGGGCTATGCCTGCATATATGCTTATTTTGGATGCATAGTACAGATCACTGCATATGAATATATGTAACTTCAAAAGAGGCATAATGCTTGGATTTGCTTGTTAGAAACTATGTACGTTCATAGGTAGAGGCCTGTCCTCTGCAGTCAAGATGAACATGTTCAGGAATTGGAACTTTTTTGAAATAAACAAAAGCATGGGGACAACAGTTTCCTTGTGCATTCACCATTTCAGTGCCTTGAACAGCCAGAGTAAACTTTCTGACCTTATGTATCCTTTTCTATAAAAATTGTTGTTCCCTTTGAAATTTGTCATTCTTGAGGCTGTCCTGATGAGTACTAGACAAAAAGCTTCAACTGCATGCTTTTTTTCTAATAGTGCACAAGCTCTGTGCTACCAATTGACCAACTTAGTTATACTTAATGGACTTAAATATTTGTTCCTGATCCATTGCGTAAACCTTTCATATTTCCTATACTAGTATGTTAAATATATCTACATATTACATCTCTAATTTCTTCGTCTATTTGTTAATTTGGTGTAGATCATTCTGGATGATATTAGACTCCTTTTTATTTTTAGTGTGCAGGTTAAGTTTTTAAGAAAATTCTGAGATATTATAAAAGATGGTCTCTGCTCTATGTTTATTAATACGGCCATCTACACATAATTGAAAGTAACTGCATGCTTAATAACTCCTTTGCACCATGATGCCCTCTCCTAGCTGGTCTGTTGTCTTTCTTCTCTGCTTACATAGACAAATTGACACCAATATAGGAAACCTTCCACTTCACAAAGCTTGAAACCCCTATGCAGATGTTCTCTTGCTTCCCACCATCCCTACCAAAGCAAAACTAAATGCTCTTTTCAGAAAACAACTAGTGAAGTTCATTTTAATTTCTCAACATGGTGGTTATTTAAAATTTGATGCAAAGGTATTTTAAAGTGCAAACAGGATGTGTCTGTGATGCACTTTTTCCACCTATTATTGTCAATCAAGTTTTCATTGGCTAAAATTTGCAAGAAAATGTGTACTCTTTTTAATTTATTTAGGAAAATATGGTTTCCTGAACATCACTAGATTTCTTATTAAAATCCACCTGAATTATATTACTTTGATGGTTTTACGTATTGATTTGGTTAAGGATTTCCAGCATTGCTTTTCCAGCTATGCTATATGTCACTCAGTGGCTTCGTAATAGTTATTGATTCGTGGGTAAATTGTGCAAAACGATCATAAAGTTTTGGCAAAGATCTGTAGCTCAGGTTGTGGATGAGGTTGTTGACTTGCTTGCTGAGCTGGCTTGTTTTTGTTCAGACATTTCAGCCAACATGCTAAGTGACATAATCAGTGGAGCCTCCAATGAAGCGATGTTATTCTACTCTGCTTGGGATTTATACTGTCCGGTCTGTTATGGTGAGTACTGTCATTTCCGGTTTTGATCTGTATGGATTTGTATATGGGGTCCAATTCTATATGTTTGTTGATTGAAGTATGGGTGGAAAGCCATGCCTCTGGGAATTCCTGTGTGTGTCTATGTTTGGCTTGGGCTACTATAGTTACCTTGTCCGAGTTAAATTGATGGGCTCCATTGTCTGAACGTACCGATATTAAGGAGAGTTCTTCCTGCCGTTTTGCTGCTAGCTGATGTTCATGTATTCTGAGGCTAGTTTCCTTCCTGTCCGTCTGATGTAATATTTGTGGCAGTCGTTGCATGGTATTTTCTAAACTACATTCGTTCTGCATGTTGTGGGAATGGGGTCTTTAATCCTTGTAAATGTTTGTTGTAGAGTGGCTGTGGGCTTGTGGGCCACCATGATTCCTAGTGGTCTTAGAGTCTGGTCAGTTCCAATATGTTCTTGACAATAGTTCTGAACTAACAGCAAGACTCCTAAGACCACTAGGAATCATGGTGGCCACAGCCACTCTACGACAAATACTTTGAAGGATTAAAGACCTCATTCCCACAACATGCAGAACGAGCATGGTTTAGAAAATACCATGCAACGACTGCCACAAACATTACGTCGGACAGACAGGAAGGAAACTAGCCTCAGAATACATGAACATCAGCTAGCGGCAAAATGGCACAACGAACTCTCCTTAATATCGGTACGTTCAGACGATGGAGCTCATCAATTTAACTGGGACAAGGTAACTATAGTAGCCCAAGCCAAACATAGACACACATGGGAATTCCTAGAGGCATGGCTTTCCACTCATACTTCAATCGACAAACATATAGAATTGGACCCCATATACAAAACCATATAGATCAAAACCGGAAATGACAGTACTCACCATAACAGACCAGACAGTATAAATTCCAAGCGAAGTAGAATAACATCGCTTCATCGGATGCTCCACTGATGATGTCACCTAGCATGGTGACGAAACGTCTGCACAAAAACAAGCCAGCTCGGCAAACCAGTCAACAACCTCAAACAATCATAATATTTTCTTGTTTTAAATCAATAATATTTCTTTGCCACCTTAATATATTTTGTCACATTGAACCCATGAGATAGAGGAAAAATGAAAGCATTCAGAGGGGAATGGGGTAATCTACTAATACTTTCCCCAGTATACAATTGTTTGATTTTTATGTTAATTTAAATATAGGCAGTTCAGTTTGGGTTTCTTGTGGTCCATTGGTAGTGTCCCTACCTCTGATCTAGGAAAGCTAAGTTAAAGTCCCACCTGCTCCAAAAGTGAGAGAATCCCTCCAAACAGGTTTATTAGGGAATATCTAAAGACAGCTCAGTTTGACACCTTTGTGGTGCAGTAATAGTGTCCCTATCTCTGGGCCAGAAGGCTTGAGTTCATGTCTTATCTGCTCCAGGGCTGTGTAACAACATCTCTGAACAGGTTGGTTAAAAAAATTAAAAAGGCAGCTCAGGACATCATGTCAGAATAGTAGTTGAATTTAAATCTCAACGTTTTAATTTTTTTCCATGTTTAGTTGCAGTTTTAAAATTAGAAGCAATGTGGTGTGCCCTTTATCCCATGGTATTTAATGGCCGCAGACCTGCAGAACAATGTATCTTTATAGGAATAACAAGTGTAACAGTTTACATTCAGCCAGACCAGATTATTCTTCAATTTGGCAGCGTAAATTAGCCTTTATTTTTGTGGCATTTAATCTATTCCGTATGTCCAATTTAGTAATTAGCACTTATTTTTCCATTCCATGGGGACATAATAATTTTGTTCCAGTTCATGAAATGTTGCTCACTCCAATGTTCACAAAATTTGTATTTCCCACTTAATATATGTGCACATGAATTTCAATTTTCTTTAAAGATTGTAAAATTGAAATTCTATAATCTTTAAAAATGTAGTACTTTTTAAAATGCAACATATACCTTTTATAAGCAAGACATACATTTGAAAGGATAACAACATTGAAATACCATTTTTCCCCTTTGGCAATAGAATACCATATTTCAAACCGTTTAAAGGGGAGGAAGTAAAGAGATGCATCCTGTGCATCATGTATGAAATTTTAATACCAGAAAGGGAAAATATACTTATTATCATGGACGACCATTCTTTGTCCCCCAGAGATCACTGATGGGACCTACTCTGGTGTGGCTGCATGTTGGCTTTTATTATATCTTGTTCTTTTCTTCTTTTAAAAAAAAAAAAAAATGGGCAACAGGATGAACCTGTTAATTTTTTAATGTGTGAACCACTGATTAATTGATCACATTAGTTCTGTATTGCATCAGCAGAGCATTTCCATCAGAGCTACTTAAAATGTTTTAAGGCCTAACTGTCTCTGTCTTGTCATTTTACATTGTAGGGTCTACTCTGAAACGGCTATGTCTAGGCAAAGATCGCAGTAGTAACTATCCAATTTTCTTTCTCTGTTTTATACTGTAAAATTGCATGAGTTATATTTTTGGATAGAAATTAACGGCTTCTGTAATTACCTGGAACGTGTATTACCTTTTAGGTGGCATATCATTGGTGACTTGATTTACTTGAAGTACAAATCCATGTCTCTCTGCTTATGTTGTTTTGTATTATGGTTTTTGTTAGATTTTGTTTGTATCAGTTTTTTTTCTCCTTTTTAGTGGATGAATATTTATTTATAGTTGCACTTTAAAACAAAAAAAAAATGAACAGGCTAAACTATTACAAAATCGATGCTTTTTTTTTAGGGTCTTCAAGTAGCAACAGTGCAAATCAGTCAGTGCAGCAGATTCTGCAACAGCATCAGCACCAGCCCCAACGTCATCAGCCACCTCAACAACAAAATCAAACCAATAACAGTAACAACAAGAAGGGAACTTTTACAGATGACTTGCATAAGCTTGTAGATGATTGGACAAAGGAAACAGTTGGAGCTGCACAGTTCAAACCTTCTTTAAACCAGTTAAAGCAGCACCAGCATAGATTCGATATGGAGCCTAGGCAAAAACCATCCCAGCCTGATGTAAGTAATAAGAACGTGTGCATTGAATTAGTTGTGTGTGATTACATTGACAATTGATTACACCACAAAGACAGGAATTTCATTTAAATGTAACAGGCTTAATAATACTACACCGTACAGTTTTAAGCAATTAGTTCTTGGAAGTCACAAGGCATGCTTGCAACTCATTTGAGTTTGTTTACTTTTTTATTTACATTTCTCCTTAAGGCTTCTAGTACCACATGTAGTTCAGTTGCTCAGACAGTGAATTTGGAATCCTGCATGGTATGGAACACCTGGTGTTTATAGGTTCTTCCCTTATTTGCTGAATTAATAAAGCTGTATCATTGTATAATTTAAGAGTAGTTGCCTTATTAATTAAGACTTCAGAGTGTTAGAATGCTATGCTGTTTAAATGTTGACTTGAAGCTGTTTTCGGCATCAGGTCAACTCTCCATTCCCACACCATCCCACCACTGACAAATTCAGACTCACCATGTGGAAATTCACATGAAAGAAGTACCAGTGGTGACAACAGCACTGATTGTAGTTTATATGGCAAATTTCATTGTCAGTAACAAACAGTGGAACAGTAGCACCACTACTTGCCATGTCCTGAAAGACGCTTGTCCTAGACTCTGCCTTTGCTAAACCAACAAGACAGATAAACCTACTTGGCCCACTCCTCATCAGTCAGCCTGTTGCAGATGCGTCTGTCCTCTTGATTCCCCAAAGATGTCCACCAATTACAACATTTAAATCAGATGTGTGGAATACTTTCCGTCTGACTGAATGAGTGAGGCTTCAACAAATTCTTGAAGCTTGACACTATCCACAACAAAGCGTCTTGATTGAATGGATTCCAACTGCTTACTTAAATATTCATTCATTCTACCACAAATGCACAGTGATAGCAGTGTACACTACTTAGAAAATGCACTGCAGCAGCTCAACCATGTTGCACATTCATGACTGTTATCACCTAAAAGAACAAGGACTTCTCCACCTGCAGGTTCCCCTCCAAGCCACACACCATCCTGATTTG